GTCTTCCCCATCATCTGACTCTTAGAGCAGCAGTGGCTTCTCCAACACAATGCTGCTCCTACAGCAGACAGCAGCCAGCAGCCTCCCTGAGCTACGGCCACACACCCCAACTACGAAAGGCAGCTTTATAGAGAGCCTTTGGAGTCTGGTGCGACACCTCACTATAAATAGCCCCCAGCACCCTAGAGAATGGGTCAGCAAACCTTCTCGGTAAAGGACCAGAGTAAACGTTTTAGGCTTTTGCCAGCCATTGATGGGTCACTCACAACTACTCAACTCTGCCACTGTAGTTTGAAAAAGCCACACACCTTGTGTAAACAATAAAATTTTATTTATAGACACTGAAATTTTTATTCCATCCAATTTTCACATATTGCAAAATATTCTTTTTCCCCCCAACCATTTAAAAATGCAAAAAACCACCCAGACTGGTGTGGCTTAGTGGGATGGACGTTGTACCACAAACTGAAAAGTCACAGGTTGGATTCAAACTCAGGGCGTATACCTGGGATGCAGGCCAGGGCCCCAGTTTGGGGCATGTGAGAGGCAACCCATTGATGTTTCTCTGGCTCTTCAATGTTTCTCTCCCTCTCCCTCCATCCCCTCTCTAAAAATAAATAAACATCTAAAAATGCAAAACCCAATCTTAGCCCCTGGGCCGTATAAAAACAGGTGGTGATGGGCCAGCCTGTAAGCTGTAGTTTGATGACTCCTGTCCTAGAGGAAGGATTTTCATCAAGTTCCACAAGGCAGATTTTCAAGTTCTGCCAGTACCATGTGGCAGCAACCTCTCTGCTCTTCGCAGAACCACCGTGCCTGCCTCTCAAACTTTGGGTGTAGGGCTCAGGGGCAGTAGAGATGTCTCCCTTGGGTGCTCTATCTTAGCCCTAAGGGTAATGACTGCTCCTTATTTCTGCCGTCTAACAACTTTCTGCTGTTCCTATTGTCTTTAAAGCTCGTTACTTTCTACTAACTATATTAATTTCTACCACTGTATATTACATTAATATGTTTCCATGGATCAAGAGTCCAGGCATAGCATGACTGGTTCCTTTTATCAAGGTTTCAAGATGATTAAAGATGTCAGCCAGGGCTGTGATGTCATTTGAAGCTGGAGTCCTCTTCCAAGCTCACTACTTGTTGGCAGAATTCAGTGCCCATGGCACTGGGACTGAGGCCCAGAGCTCCTAGAGTTTGCCTGGTGTTTCCTGGTAAGTGACTGTCTCCACAACAGGGCAGTTTGCTTTAAGGCTAACAGGGAAGCACCTGTGCTGCTACTGCTTGACTTTAGATGGTTTTGAAGGGATCATCTGATTAAGTCAGGCCCACCTGCAGTGATCTGCCTTTTAATTCAAATGAATTCTTTTTTTAAACACTTAAAAAATATATTTTTAGCCCTGGCTGGCGTAGCTCAGTGGATTGAGCGCGGGCTGCGAACCAGGCATCACAGGTTCAATTCCCAGCCAGGGCACATGCCTAGGTTGCAGGCCATGGCCCCCAGCAACCGCACATTGATGTTTCTCTCTCTCTCTTTCTCTCTCCCTTCCCTCTCTAAAAATAAATAAATGAAATCTTTAAAAATATATATATTTTTAGATTCTTTCAGTCAGGATGGCAGTGTAGGTAGACATGGCTCACCTCCTTGCACAACCACATCAAAATTACAGCTAAGATATAGAACAACCATCACTCAAAAACATCAGAAATTGAGTTGAATGGAAGGCTGACAACTACAGAATTAAAGAAACCATATCCACCCAGACTGGTAGGAGGGGCACAGATGTGGAATAGCCTGGTACCACAAACACATGTGGTGGATAGAAGTTCAGGTGAGATACATCAGGAGTGAGGAGTCCCACCCCACACCAGACACCTCAGCCCAGGTTTCCAGTACCAGGAAGATAAGTCCCCACAACTTCTGGCTGCAAAAACCAGCAGAGATTGAGATGGTGGAAGAAACTTCTGGAGCCCTAAGCAGTTCCTCTTAAAGAACCCACACATGGACTCACCTACTCAGCTCACTCCCTCTGAGCTCCAGCACTGGAATAGCAACTTCAAAGGCACCAGTGGCATAGTAGGAGCAACTGAATTGTCTGGCATCAAGGCATGCAGAGGCCATTGTCCCTTTTCTAAACCCACCTGCCACAGAGCTACAGAGTTGATAGGCAGATGCCATATCTGAGACTCCAACTACCTGGCTAACACTCTTTGACCTGCCTTGGAAATCCCCAGAGACTCTGCCCCACCCAATTTATGGGTCCAACCCAGCTGCTTTCCCCTATGAATGGCTAGTCTTGGCTCATAGTGCACAACTTCCTGAAACCTCTCAAAAAAGCAACAGCTGGCCTCAGTGAGCCCAGGCCGGGCACTAGCAACAGCCAGCCTAGGTTTGCAGCTTCATTTCACCTAGGAATCTCCAAGCCCAACTAACAGCCATCTCAGATTCCTTTATAGCTTGCTTACACAGGGTGGCCCCTGACAAAACACCATGGCCTGCACAACCTGGGAAACCCCAGGGCCAGTGCACCCAGTCAACCAAGTTGGAGCACCACCACCCTGCCCCTACACAGATGATCCTCCACCAAAGGCCAAGGTTGGTATAAGTTGTCACAGCCAATCCCTGCAGATGACTGGCATGGGTACATCCTTCCCATTGACCTGCCAATAGCAACCAAGGCTCAACTACAAGAGAAGGGTGTGCTCAGCCCACACAAAGGGTGCACCTCGAGCACCCAGCTTTGGTGATAGGGAGGCTGTGCCACTGGACCATACAGGACACCTACTACATTAGGCCACACTACAAGACACAGAATAAAAGCAGCTCTACCTAATACATAGAAACAAACACAGGCAGGCTGCCAAAACAAGGAGTCAAAGAAACATGGCCCAAATGAAGGAACAGATCAAAACTCCAGAAAAAGAGCTAAATGAAATAGAGATAAGCAATCTATCAGATACACAGTTCAAAGCACTGGTTATAAGGATGCTCAAGGAACTTAGAGAGGACCTCAACAGCATATAAAAGATCCAGTCAGAAATGAAGGATATACTAATTGAAATAAAGAACAATTTACAGGGAAACAACTGTAGAGTGGGTGAAGCTGAAACTCAAATCAATGATTTGAAACACAAGGAAGCAAAAAACAACCAATCAGAACAAGAAAAAATCCCTCCCCCCAAAATGAGGGTAATATAAGCAGTGTCTGGGACAACTTCAAGAGGTCCAACATTCACATCATAGGGGTGCCAGAATGAGAAGAGAAAGAACAAGAAATTGGAAATCTATCTTAAAAAGTAGTGAAAGAAAACTTTCCTAATTTGGTGAAGGAAATAGACATGCAAGTCCAGGAAACACAGGGAGTCCAAATTATGATGGATACAAAGAGGGCCACTCCAAGACACATCATAATTAAACTGCCAAAGATTAAAGATAAAGAGAGAATCTTAAAAGCAGCAAGAGAAAAGCACTTATTTACCTAAAGGGTATTTCCCATAAGACTGTCAGTTCATTTCTCAAAAGAAACTTTGCAGGCTAGAAGGGATTGGAAAGAAATATTCAAAGTATAAAAAGTGGAGACCAAGATTGCTGTACCCAGCAAAGATATCAATAAGAACAAAGGGCAGATAAAGTTTCCCAGACAAAAAAACACTAAAGGAATTCATCATCATCAAACCATTATTATATGAAATATTAAAGAGACTGATTTAAGAAAAAGATCAAAACAATGAACAATAAAATGGCAACAAATACATATCTACCAAGAATTGAATCTAAAAAACGAACTAAGCAGAGACAAAATCATGGATATGGAGAGCATTTTGATGGTTGCCAGATGGGAGGGGGGTGTAGGAGAATGGGTGGAGAGGGGATTAAGAAGTACAAATAGGGCCCTGGCTGCTGTGGCTCAGTGGATTGTCAGCCTGCAAACTACAGGGTCACTGGTTCGATTCCCAGTCAGGGCACATGCTTGGGTTGCAGGCCAGGTCCCCAGTATAGGACACGTGAGAGGCAACCACACATTGATGTTTTTCTTCCTCTCCTCCCTCCCTTCCCCTCTAAAAATAAAATAAAATCTTTAAAAAAGTACAAATATCAGAAGAGAAAAAAAGTACAAATAGGTAGTTTAATAATAGACGTGAAGATGTAAAGTACCATATAGGAAATGGAGTAGCCAAAGATCTTATAAGTATGACCCAGAGACATGAAAAATGTTGGGGGCATTGCCTGAGGGAGAGGAGGCAATGGGTGGAGGGGGACAAAGGGGAGAAAGTTGGGACTGTAATACCATAATCAATAAAATATAATTAAACTTTAAAAAATTTATTGATAGGGAGACAGAGACAGAGAAACATCAATTTTTGTTTCACTTATTTATGCATTCCTTGGTTGGTTCTCACACGCACCCTGACCTGGGATCAAGCCCATAACCCTGGCATATCAGGACAGCACTCTAACCAACTGAGCTACGTGGCCAGGGATAGGGTTCTTAATTCACGTTGTTAGTTTCATATTTTTAAAATTCTCCTACCGAAAGGAAAATATTAACTTTATATAAAATACAGGGTGGGACAAAAGTAGGTTTAGTTTTTCACATGGAAATAATACAAATGTAAAAATGAAATGTTCTGTGTCCTCACAACTGTAAACCTACTTATGCCCCACCCTGAATATTTGTATGATTATTCATTATATAAGATGTTGAAAAACTGGTGCTTCTAACTTGACCAACCATAGAATTCATGGTTTGCAAAATTCTCTATTAATTCTGCCTCAGGCTATGTTTGCCAACATGCCAATTTGTCTAAAACAGAATCTTCAGATTCACTCTGAATAAAACTGATTTTCTGTGAAGTTCCATCACAGGTTATTTAACTTATACTAATATGCCTGATTAGAAGTACTCATGCAAAACTCCAATTTGTAGTTAGCATTCAGATATTTCTTAACCTATTTTGTGTATATTATGAAATTTGATTCAATACAATTCAAAGTTAGGAAATTCAGTTTTAAAATGTTTTATTTCATAGTTCATAAAAAAAGGTTTTTATGTACAACACTCAAATGTAAGTAGGAAGGCAGCTTTCAGTCACAAATAGAAGCATATTTAATGCACACTCTTCAATGTTATGTATAAATAATTTAAACTATGCAACCCAAGTTCTGGGACCATCAGATTCTGGGATATCGGATCTGCATATATGACACTTGTCAAACTTTAATATCAGTAAAGTCAATTTCAAGCTGCTTATATTTTGAGTACAGGTTTCACTATTACAAATATGTTAACTAACAAAGTAGTCTTCAAAGACGTGTCTGTCCCATGCACATATATTTGTGATCGAATCCGTCGATTATTTTCCTTTCTTCCTGCAACCAGTCAAATGACGCAGTTACCCACTGAGCTCCCTGTGCATCTCACCCATCTCCTTTATCTGAAATAGAGGGGGAAAGAGGAAAACATATGAAAACAATCTTCCAACCTTTTGTTCTGAAAAGTTAAAAAGAAAGTAAAGAGGAAAGTGAGGTAATTCTCTTCCACATTTATGAGACATTTATTACTTAAATTTAGAAAAAGAAGCTCTCTTACAGAAAGCACACATCAGGTGCACGACTCAGCTGCTGTCTAGGAGCTGAGGCAGCCCGAGTGAGAGGGGAAAGGAGCAGGTAAGCTCGAGCTTTACGAATGAATACAATTTCTATTAAATGTATTTTAAGTAACCCATTTACCTCAGCCTTCTGATACTTTGCCATTCTTTTCTTTCTGGAAATAACCTGAATGAGAAAAAAAAGAAAGGAAGATTACTTTCTTAGAACTGCTACTAAACAAAGAGTTAGTCTAAATGAGTGATTTCTAACTGGTGGGCTGTGAGAATTTTTAAGACATGCAAGACCTGACTATTTAGCCAGGGGCCCTGACCTCTTTTCCCTTAGACTGTTAAGTAAAAACATGACAATGGCCTACACAACAATATCCATCCAGTGTGAATAAATAAAAACTATACCTATGTTTTGTCAGATTGGCAAAAAACATATTTTTGGTGTGCTGCAAATTTTAGTAATTACTTTATCTGTGCCATCGGATGAAAATGGTTGAAAATCACTGGTTTAAACTGACACATATGAGCCCTGGCCAGGTAGCTCAGTTGGTTGGAGCATCATCCTGATATGCCAAGGTTGTAGGTTCGATCTCTGGTCAGGACACAGACACAACCAATGAATGCATCAAAAAATGGAACAACAAATCAATGTCTGTCTGTCTGTCTGTCTGTCTCTCTCAAATCATTAAGTAAAAAAAGTATTTTAAAAAAGCTGACATATGCTTTTAATAATGCACATAACTCCTATATGAACCAATTTAATTTTAAAATCCAACCAAACATTATATCTTCTTTTTAAAACTTTTATTTATTTTTAGAGGGTAAGGGAGAAAGAGAGGGAGAGAAACATCAATGTATGGTTGCCTCTTGCATGCCCCCTACTGGGGACCTGGCCCACAACCCAGGCATGTGCCCTGACTGGGAATCAAACCTGCAACCCCTTGGTTTGCAGGCCAGCACTCAATCCACTAAGCCACACCAGCTTAAGACATTACCTTAAATTAAAACTCACAACTAAAAAAATGTCTACCGCAGTCCTGACTGCTATGGCTCAATTGCTTGCTGGTTGGATTCCCAGTCAAGCCAGATGCCTGCGTTGTGGGCCAAGTCCCTGGCTGCGGGCATGCTAGGGGCAACCAATTGATGTTTCTTTCACACACCAATGTTTCTCTCCCTATCTTTCTCCCTCCTTTCCCCTCTAAAAGTAAATAAATAAAATCTTTAAAAAAAAAGGTCTACCACAACCAGTGAAACAAAACAAAAAACATCAAGAAAACAATGAAATTAATCATCCTAAGTGAAATGTAGAGCCTAGTGTACATTCTTCCACATATTGTTCCATCCAAATACAAACAAACATGGGACCATGCAATATTTTTGTGCAGCCTGTCTCATCACAGGAACCCTACCAGATCAAAAGCTATAGACTGAACTCATTCAGTAGCCACTTTATTCCACAGCATGGATATACCATGCTCAGGTTGTCTACAGATTCATCGTTATGAGCAACACTGCAGTATGTAACTTGACCAAGCTTCCTTATGCATTCATGCTTTTATTTATACAGGACAGATCCAAAAATTTCTATGACTCATCTTTCATCTTATTCTTGCCATCTAGGATTCATCTTCTGTGAGTTGTCTATCCATACCTGTTGCCATTCTTTCTTTAGTTTCCTCATCAATTTGTAAGAACTCCATATATATTATGCATAATACCTACTTTTTAAAATTGATTGATTGATTGATTTTTTTAGAGAGGAAGGAGGGAGAGAGAAGAGAAACATGGGTTTGTCATTCCACTTATTCATGCATCCATTGGTTGATTCTTTTTTGTAAACTTTATTTGTTATTCAAATACAGCTGCCTCCATTTTCCCACCACCACTTCCACCCACTCGACCCTCAGCCCTACCCCTCCTTGGTTTTGCCCATGGATCCTTTATACATGTTCCTTGACAACCCTCTCCCTCCTTTCCCCCATTATCATTGGTTGATTCTTGTATGTGCCTAGACCAGGGATCGAACTCACAACCTTGGCATACTGGGACAACACTCTAACCAACTGAGCTACCCAACCAGGAGTTAATACTCTTTTCTGTTTTTAATGTAGTCAAGTGTACATCTTTTCTTTCACAGATTCCAGATTTCCAGCTTTACTTGGTTTCCTTTACCACAAGGTTATATAAACATTTTCTAAATTAATTTCGAGATGTTTTATTTTTAAACATTTCCGACAATAATCCACCTGGAATTTGTATATTTCGGCACGGGTGTACTGCCTGACTCCTCTCATGTGTACTTTGCCATTCGCACACTTGGACGATATGGTCAGCCCCGGTGGGGTGAAACTGGAATTCAGCTTGTGTTTTCTTCCAGGTGGATAGCCAAGTGTGATAATGCCACCGAACGGACAATGTAGATTCCCATATACCCTCACATCTACTTCTGCATTCTTCATGTTGGTACGATTTCCTGATGCCGAAGTATCCTTACATTTCCATAAACCCTGCTTGTTCATGTGATACATTCTTCTGAAGCACTGCTAAACTCAATTTGCTCATCTTTTATTTAGAACCGTTGGCGCCCTGGCCAGGTAGCTCAGTGGGCTAGAGCGCCATCCTGATATGCCAAGGTTGCAGGTGTGACCCCCTGTCAGAGGACACCTAAGAAACAACCAAGGAATGCAAAAATAAGTAGGACAACAAATTGATGTTTCTCTCACTCTTTCTCAAATCAATAAACCTAAAAAAAAAAAAACTGTTGCTTTGTATTAATCATCTTTAATTCCTTACTATGTTAACCTTAATGTGTGTTCTGTTATTTCATTTCACCGAATGGCCTGGGAACTCAGGTATTTTCACACTAATCCTGACAAGAGTGTTGAACTGTTTGCAGTGAGGAGAACTGAAAGCTATTTGCTGCTCAACGGCAACATAACTGACTTGTGAGGTGCCAGCTACAAGCTTTTCTCAGATTAGTATCCTTCCTTGCTTCATAAGGTGACTTTTTAAATAAAAAGGGGCCAAAGATGCAATAGATTCACTCACTATAGAGAATTATTAAGAAAAAAAAAGATGAAGATTTTTGTTTCATTTATATCATTCTGGAACATGGATGTCACCTTTTGATATTGCCACCTCTCCTTGAAAGAATACATCCTTAAATGAAATGTTACTTGTTCTATACTCACCAGAACAACGATTCCAGCAATAAGTGCTATTGTCACAACCACAATGACAGCAATAACGCCAGCTTTTAGGCCCTGCATTGAAAATTCTGGTGGTTTTTCATCAACATAGTAAATTATAGTTCGACCAGGATCCAGATCCAATAGTTCCCCATCTACTCTCAGGTCCATTTTCTTGGAATGGAACAAGGATTCATCTTTAACCTAGATTGAGAAGGAGAAAATCAACTTAAAACACAGTGGTACCCCAGTACTCATTGTTAATTCATTCCAATAAGTGACTAGCAAGCGATGAATGATGGAGCATTTTCTCTTGCGGGGTGGCACCGTGACTCATACGAGAGATCTAGCAGGTGTGAGAAGTGGCGAGCAAGTGCCGAGTGCTGAAACACTTTTTCTCATCAAAATGCAACAAATATCAGTTTGACGAGTTCTGAAGTTGAAGAGTACCAAGGTATGACTATATTTATGAAAACCTGGCCTCATGAAATTACATGCCAATTATAAACCAAAAGAACCATTGCCAAGAACCTTTATGGTTTCGGTGTTAACAATCTTATATTGAGACTTAGAAAAAAAATTCATCATGGGAAATTTTCAAACATATACAAAAGCAGAAACAATACTATAATGAAGTCCCATGTACCTATCACCAGATTCAACAATATAAACACATAGCCAATCTTAGTTCACCTGTTCTTCCTTCATCCTCCCCACTCTTCACCAGGCCAGATTTTAAAAAAAAAGAAAAAAGATTTTATTAATTTTTAGAGAGGGGAAAGGTGGGAGAAAGAGAGGGAGAAAAACATCAATGTGTGGTCACCTCTCAAGCACCCCCTACTGGGGACCTGGCCCACAACCCAGGCATGTGCCCTGACTGGGAATCAAACCAGTGACTGTTTGGTTCGCAGGCCTGCACTCAATCCACTGAGCCACACCTGCCAGGACATAGGCCAGATTATTTTGAAACAAATCCTAATTTCATCAGAAAATAACTAGCTATAATATATTAAAACTTAAACAATTTCATCACACAGCATTTCTCACATAACTCTTATTCATGAAAATAATAGGGAAAGGTTATACACACAAACTAAGCAACGATTGAGGAGGTAATGGATAAGAATTATGTGAAGATATTCTAGGCAGAACAATTTGACGAAAAGGCATAAATATACAGAAAGGTGCATGAGAGTGACAGGGAAGATAGCATTAACTGCAGCACAAGAACCGCTTGGAGAACAGTTAGAGACATGGTTGATTTGTAAGTGTAAAATAGATTACGGAAGACCCTGAACCCACAGAGGTCTGACAAAGAACATTACTTTTTAAAATCAGTACAGAAATTCTTTTATTTTTCTCACACTTATCATGCCCTGAACTCCTAGGGAACGGGTTCCAACCGCTCAGGCTCCTTCCCAGTGGTTCTCACGCGGTGCACTTCTCTGGGCGGAGCAGGCTGACGCTTCAGCTGAACCCAGGCACCTTTCTCTTTGGCTTCCTTCTTTTTCTGATCATCCCCTTCACACGTTTCAGGAAGCTATCTCGACTCTTAGAGTCAAGCTTAACATGCTCAATCTGTACAGTAATTCTCTTAGCAAGAAACTTGCCCTTAACCTGCTTGTTTACAGCAATGCCCACCGCATGCCGGGTGCCCCTGTAGACTCGCCCAGTTTTGCCAGGGAGCATCTGTGGGCATCCTTTCTGAGCAGGGCCCATCCCCTTGACGCCTACAATACCACCTTTCTTGTAGATTCGCATGCAAGTAGCCAAAGAACAACTTCATGTTTTCTAAAAGGCCTAGAGAACATATAACGTGTACCTCTCCTATTTCCTTTTGTTAGTCACTTTGGTGAATTACTGGAAGATAGCAGTTCTGGCTGAAAAAGAACACTATATTTCTAAACATCAGAATAAAATGAGGAAGGGTTTACTCACATCCTTTTCAAAGTAATAAGCCACATCAGCTATGTCCACATCATTCTGAGTTTTCTGAGAAGAATTTTGCACCAGATCAATAGTGATAACATCATTTTCATACTGGGAGGAAATCGAAAAATACAAATTAATATTAACATAACCAAACTCATAAAAATAATGTTCAATAATCTGAACATTCACTATGTGATTTTCTATAATCTACATGTGTCAATGCTCCTTTCCACTAGTAGATAACTAAGTTTATCACTAATAATTTTAAAATCTTTGGACAAAACTCTTTGGGAGGTCTTTAAAGCTATACAAGGGAATTAAGACAGCAATTCAAACAACGATAATTACAATGCATGTTTTCTTTTCAAAAGAGAATTTTCTTCTCCTGAAGAGATTTTAGAATCAGATATTAAAGCACTGTATTTGGTTAGAATCACTTTAAAACTAAAAAGCTAAAGAAATGCAATCCAAAAAGCAGTATGCATTTACCACATTCTACTTTCAGAACCAAAAAAGTATTCCTTCCAAAAAGTCTTTTTAAAAATACCAACTTTAATACCAACTCTAATACCAACTCTAGAGGAATTTGAGAATAAATTCATACAGCTCTGAAAGAGTTCCATTGCAGTATTCAAGCAGTTTGCAACCGGAGTTGAAAGCATTAAGGAAGGACTAACTAACTGCTAAAAGGACCAGCTCCTGAAACCGGAGGAGAGGGGAGCTAGGCACACGGAAGTGAGGGGGCGTCAACGGCAACCACAGCAGCAGTTTCCCAGGGTAGGAAGACTGGCATGTGTTTGGAATACTAAGATACACTACATTTTCTTTAAGGATAAACAGATTTTCAAGGGCTCTGGAAGAAAAACAAAACAAGGAATTTGCTTTATGATGTGCCATGGGCTGAAACTATTACTCAAATGCAATTTAATCACCACTAAAAATCAGACCCAAGCCATATCACTTCACCAACTTTCTGCCAGACCTCATTTGCTTAACAAACAAACAAACAAAATCTTACCAGAATATTTACAATATATTTTGGATCCAGTTGATAGCGAGTTGCGATTACATCCTTGAATGCACTATAAATAATTAAAAATTGTGTTTTTTAAAGAATGGTTGTATTAAACATTAAGAAGCACTACATTAACTAAACAGATAGCTCAAAGTCTGGAATTGTCATTAATCAAACTTGTTGAAAATTTTATATCATTTTGCAAATATAATATTAGATTCAAGCAAGACATCCACTGATGCTAAACTGTTGAGTTCCTGGGTGAGTTCCACTTTGATTAGAAGCAGGGTATCAAGGATCTGCCCACAGATTATACTTATTAATTAGAAAGAGGAAAATGGTAACTCAACAGTGGAGAAAACTGGCGACACCACCTTAACCACAGGTAGCATCATCAGTACAGGGACAAGATGACATCACATCCTTCCTGATGTGAAATGCTTTGGAGTACGTATTATCACTTAGGTGTTTTTTTCTGTCAAAAATGTATGGCTCGACAGTCACTATATTAAGACCATGCTTATGTCCAGAGACCTAGTTCCTTCTCCAAGACTGGTTTTATAAATGCTGGTACTAAACCAACGGAGGGGGGAGCATAAGCTGTACTTTACTATAAGAAAACAACAAACCAAATGCGAGAGACATTCTATAAAACAATTTGCCCACACTATTCAAAAATATCAAGGTCATGAAAGACAAAAAAGACCAAAACAGTGTCCCATATTAGAGAGAATAAACAGTCCTGACAACTAAATGCAACGTGTGATCAGCGGGTAAAAAATGTTATGAAGGACAACACTGGGAAAACTAGCACAATATGGATAAGTTTTATGAATTTGGTAACTGTACCATGGTTATGTAAGAGACGCATTTTGTTTCTAAGAAAAGATATACTAAAGTATTCAGCAGTAAAGGGGCACAGTGTCTATAATTTGCTCTCATCTGGGTCTAGGAAAAACTATACATGCTAGATAGAAGATACATGAAGCACACACATGTAAAGAAAAATATGGCAAACATTCACTGGTGAATCTAAGCAAAGGGTACTACAGAAATCTGTACTATTCTTACAACTCAATTTCAAAATAAGGTTAAAAGTATTACATATAGTATCTTCTTAGGAAATACGAAAAAACAGTGAGACTTGTTTCAGTTTTCCTCATGTAGGATGTAAGATCTGACAGCTGTGCAAATATAATGCATTTCATAGCACTTACGTCTGCAAACTCTGAACATTGTAAGGTTTTTCTCTTGTTTTGTGTTTCAGTTCAATGATGATCCAACTGTAAATTAAAGAGACAGCGTTAACTATAACACTCAGACATTTACATTGTTTTCTTAATAAGCTAGTAGAGGTAACAGAAAAAGGATTTATACAACTGGTATGCCTTTAATTTTTTCCTTGGCCCTCACATATCTTTCATAAATAATTCACATAGAGACTCTCTCTGTGGAGCATGCCCAAGCCTTTTCCCACGACCACACCTTTCCCCACACCCTTTCCCCAGGCCTCTCTCTTTCTCCTAAGCTCCAAGGGCCCCTCCTTTGCCTCTGGAACTTGTTTTTTGGGCCCACCACTTCTACCTGGGTGGCTTTCTAAATAAACTTTTCCTTGTATTTGGAAAAAAAAACTCATCCAGGAAGGAACACCTTTCTAACACTGACCCTCTGGCTACAAATGCAAGGTCACGTTGGGCAATCTTCAGGTGAAGACGCGGAAAGGTACAGAGAGCAACAGTAAAGTAACCTGGAGGCCCCATAAGACAGAGGCACAGGGAATGCCTGTCTTGGTTTTGATACCCTTTCAGTTTCTAGTTCTTGCCAATAAATTCTTTTTTGCTTATGCTAGCTTGCTATGCTACCATATAGCATGCTACCATAAGGAAAAAATATACAAAAAATAAAAGTATATTGCTAGTAAATCCATAAAATATCTCTGGAAGGTTATAGAATAACTGGTGACATCAGTTCTGCGGAGGTAAACTAGGTAACTGAGGCAGGATGGAGACTTTTCACTGTATACTCTTCTAGCTTTTGACTCTAAATCATCGAGTTGTATGACATATTCAAAAAATAAGCTTAATTGATTAAACGAATCTGACAAGCATGAAAACAAGTAATGCAGGCAGCCCAACTCACTAGGTCCTCACTCGCTCGGGGCAGGTCTTTTCCGTGTCTTTGTCTGTTCTGCGGACCCCAGCAGTATTCACACACCAGCACGTGGTGGTGCCATTGCACTGCTTGGCCTTAAAGTGCCCGTTCTCGTCACAGTCAGGATCGTAGAGCCCGTCGTTATTCTGAATAGCACCTTCAGGTTTCGTTCTTCTCCCAGACTTTGAATGAGACATTTCTGCCTTCATCACCAAACATTTGGTAGCCACTACAAAAAAAAAGCTTATTATCTTACTGAAAAAAATAACTTCAATTTTAGGCTTAAGGAAAAGAAATTTGAATTTAACTCCAAACTCCCAGGGCCGAAGATTACTGTAGACTTACAGGTGCCACACTTACTTTCAAAGAATAAGAAGCTATCACAGGTATGAGATAATTGACAAAATAACACGATTCCTATTTGAGCCAATAAAAGGCTTCCCAACACAAAATGCACTCATTAAAGAAATATAAGTCAAAATAAAGTTTAAAGGCAATGAAGATATTCTACTCACATGTTGTGCAAATGACGGTATTTTGTGTACCAATTGAAGTACACTGGCAATAACCACGTGAGTTCAGAGAGCAGTTTGTGGTCAGTTTGTAGTTTTCACAGATACATTCTGAAGGGAGAAAAAAATCCACTTTAAAATATGAATCAACTCTCGACTCTGGTGTCCCAGCTAAATTATATTCTGACAACAGCGTCTAACTTACAGGGACGCAAAGCCTCAAAAGGTGATTCTGAATGTTTTATTTTTCAGCTGTAGTTAGACTGGCTGACATAATTTGTATGTATTATATAGACATTCAGTCTAATTTGCATGCATTCCCATTTTGTTTTTGTTTTTTTTTTAACCAAGAATACAGCCCTCCGACATCACGTTCAGCTTGGCCTTTAAGATGCTCCCAGTGTTGGCTCCTTCCCTCTTTCCCATCCTGCTACAATAAACCTTTGCCTGTCAGCTACCAACTCTTCTTCAAAAATCAACAATTCCATACCTTCGTTCCTCTTTGCTTTGGTGCTTAATGGGAACATATTCAGCCCTTGGACTACAATTACATCTTAGAAAAATTACTTTCAATTGAATGTGGTAGCACCTCAGTATGTGGGTTTCCTAACTAAATTAAACCCTAGTACCCAGCTTTGCTGTGTATCCTGAGTACTGATGTCAGTTTAATAGTTACATCCTTCACTATCTCAAAAGTAAATTTTAACTTCAAATTGGCAAGCCCACTTAATTTCTTGTCTAAGAGAACATAGTCATTGAAAACAAAAATAGTATGATAAACCAAAGAATTTTATTTTATTTTTTTAAAGATTTTATTTATTTATTTTAGAGAGGGAAAGAGGAGAGAAACATCGGTGTGCAGTTGCCTCTCGCGCATCCCCTACTGGGGACTGTGGTCACAACCCAGGCGTGTGCCCTAGACTGGGAATCGAATTCGCAGGCTGGCACTCAACCCACTGAGACACACCAGCTAGGGCAAACCAAAGAATTTTAATATTGATCCTTCAAGTCTATAGTTGGCTTTTTCCTGTTTAAGTTAATCAATACTAACTACTTGCCTGATCTGACCAGCACTAAACTCAATATTAGGGTCACAAATAAAGTACAATGGCCCTCCTCAAGGAGCTAAAATCTGACGCAGCACTGTACCTGCTCAAAACACCTTTTCCATGTCCAAGCAATGTCAAAGTTAAAGCAGACCAACAGTTACAGACTTTCTGAACATAGGTCTATAGCAGCTATCATCACTTTACAGCAACTGAAGGTTTAAGTATTTAACTCCCAAAGTATTCTAGAAAACCATGAGTTGAATAAACCGCATAATTTTTAAAGTGTACTTAACTAGGCTGTGCCCTGCTGGGGAAGGTATAAAAACCTTTCCAGAAACCTTTGGTCAACTGCCAGGTCACTTCTGCCCACCATCTTACAAAAGGATGGCAGCCAAGATGTTTATCCCAGAGTAAGAAACCCTGGAATCAGCCCTGGCTGGCGTGGCTCAGCCCATTGAGCGCACCACACATTGCGGTTTCTCTCCCTCTTTTTCTCCCTCCCTTGCCCTCTTAAAAAAAAAAGAAAAAAGAAAAACGAAAAACACTGAAGTCAAATTAAATGTCCGACATTTGGACGGTGGTGTGGCCTTTCACGATATAGATTATGTCATAATTTAAATCGTGTTTTGCAAGACCAAAAAAATGGAAAATTCGGGATGTAATGTGGGGACAAAAAAAATCAAGATTAAAAACTGTGTGTTTAGCTTTAGGACAACGTTTAGAGCAATGTTTAAAAAAATACACCATATTATTAATTATAAGATTCTCTTGAAGTGGCAGGATTATGGGTTTTTTATCCTTTAGGGTTATGGATAGTTCTGGTTTCCCTATAATAAACCTGGCATTACTTTTACCCTCCTTAGAAAAAGGAAACCACCTACACGCCTGGGTAGTCAAGGTCCAGGAGGACCTTCTCCCGCGCGCGGGTGAGGAGCGGCCCCGACGGCCTCCGGCAACCACCTGTTTCCTCCCGATAGAGACACCCGGGGCCCGCTGCAGGTGCTCCGGGAGGGGCGGACCGGCAGGTGTCTTCTCAGCCTCCCCTCCCGGCCCGATCTGGTTTCCGCCACTCCAGAACGCGAGAGCTCCCGCACCCTCGTCGCATACACAGTGCGAAGAGCCCCCGGACGCAGCCGCTCCGCTCCCTGCCTGCCCCTCGGTCCCCGCCCCGGGCCACCTCGCTGCAGAGGAGTGCAAAGCGGCCGAGGGAGGCGGCTCCCTCCGGCCCGCGCAAGTGGGCGCCTGCCCACCGCCTGCCCCGAGTGGTCGGCTCTCCAGACGGGAAAGCGCTGCAGCCCTCCCCTTCCCCACGATCTCCGTCTCAGGTGCCGGGGGCCAGCACACCCCCACCCCAGGCCCAGGCCATCCCATAATTCCGCTCCTTACCGTTCTGAGCCGCGGCCACCGCCGTCGCCGCAGCGAGCAGGAGCCCGAACGCGAGGACCTGGGGGAACGCCATGCTGCGCGCGAGCCGGGCAGGAGGGCGCGAGGCGGCGGGAGCTCTCCGGAGGGCGCCGGAAGGAGTGAGCGGACTGGAGCCCACCGGCGGGCTGGGGCGTGGGGCGCGCAAGCGTGCAGGAGACCGCTGCAAGATGCTCCCCGGGGCCCGTAGAAAGACGCGAGCTCCCCGAAGGACAGCGAACTATGGGCGCAGGGCGGAGCGGAGCGGACCTGCCCGACCTGGCGGCCCCGCCTCCCGGCGCCAGTCGGGGTCCTCTGTCCGACCGTTCTCCGCGGTGAGTCACCGACCGGGGGTGGAGGCGCGATGGGAAGCAGGTTCCCCTCCCCCACCCACTGCGCGGCGGTTGGGCTCCATCCTTCTCAAGGTGTGCACCCCGCCCCGCGAAACCGCCAGAGGCTTCCTCCCGCGGAGCCCGGTGGGAGGAGAAAAGGGAAAAGGCTGCGGCTGTGACAGCCAGTAGGGGACTCTTGCTGGCCACAGAGAAGGTTTGAAAATACTGGGACTTCTTTTATCCGAGAGAGCACGACTCTGAAACCTTGAAGAAATGGAACCTGGAGGAGAGAATGAGGCGGCTAGGAAGAAGAATGTGGAAGCTAAAATGGAATACAAAGAAAAGCGGGGAACCGTCGAACCATAATATGAAAAAGACCTTTGAGCTTTACCTAGCAGTTTAATTGTACTCCTTTGAAACTAGTAATAAATAAATTCCCCTCCCCCCCCTCTATATATATATCCTTGGCTCCTGGGAGATGACAAATTTCTATGTTCTCAATCATTTTTCCTTCTTTTTAGCCCTTGGAGATGTAAGAAAAGTTGTTCCCAAGAGCCAAGTGCTAGAAACAGATTACTCCTGTTTTGATTAATGTTAGAGAACAATATTCATGAGTTTTTTAAAAAAATACAGGAAAGTAGAAACGACAGTTAATAATTTATTTTAGTGCAAATGAATTCAAGTTACAACACGCTATTATTAATCTTAAAATAATTGTAATGAGTTGAAGCCTTCAATAGCAACATATTATATGTCTTTAACTTTTGGTTAGATGTAATATTATAATCTTTTTATTTATTTGAATCTTTAAAAAATATTTATTTATTTTTAGAGAGATTAAAGGAGGGAGAAAGAAACGGAGAGATCATCTGCCTCTTGCACACGCCCAACTAGGGATCTGGCCCACGACCCAGGCATGTGCCCTGACTGGGAATCAAACTGTTAACCCTTTGGTCCACAGGCCAGGCTCAATCCCCTGAGCCACACCAGCCAGGGCTATTTTTGAAATCTTTATAAGAGTTTATTTGAGCCCAAACCGACAACATTTGCCAGGAAGCAAGATGTGAAATGCTCCTTGATCTGTTTTTAAGAGGCTTTTTTTTTTCTGCTTAAACCATTGGAGTAAGAATTCAAAAGAGGAAAGGTGAAAAAGCAATTTTAACATTAAATTAATATACAGTCAGTAAAAAATTATGCTTTTATTGAGCATAATTTCATTTAATTGTGTTGTGCTCTCCTATTAAAAGTTGATTAATGTAAATAGTCATGTTGTTACAGTAAGTAGCTGTATAATTTCAATTTCAATAGGACATTAAATAAGCTATCCAGTTGATTACTGAAGTCTTAAGGAAATCCTATCACTGTTTTAAATCTGTAAATCTCAGTTGCTAGACCTAGTTTTGGAGCTTTGTGATCTGTTCCTCGACTTGAAGTGAAAAGGAGAGTAATGTCAAATCAGGAACAAGTTAACCAGCTTTTTGTTGTCTTCTGCATTTTGGATGCTTTCAGGAAGTTACACACAGCCAGCTTCCAAACTATACATCCTTTTTAAAAAAATTTTTTATTGTATTTTTTCCATTATCATTTAGTCCCCTTATACTAACTTCCCCCCAACAATCACCACACTGTTGTCCATGTCCATGAGTTCCTTTTCCCTTTTGCTCAATCCCTCCACCCCCACTAGCTGTCTTCCTGCTCTCCATCTATGAGTCTGTCACCATTTTCCTTGTTAGTTCAGTTTGTTCATTAGATTCCTCATATGAGTGAAATCATACAGTATTTGTCTTTCTCTGACTGGCCTATTTCACTTAGCATAATGTCCTCCAGGTCCATCCATACTGTAGCAAAGTTTTCTTCTTTTTTATGGCTGAGTTGTATTCCATTGTGTAAATGTCCCATAGTAGTTTTATCTACTCATCTGCTGATGGACACTTAAGCTCCTTCCATTGCTTGGTGATTGTAAATAATGCTGCAGTGAATACAGGGGTGCTTATGTTCTTTCAGATATATGGGTTTCTTCAGATATATTCCCAGAAGTGGGATCGATTGCTCGGTCAAAAGTCAGATCTGCTTTCCACAGTGTTTGCAACAATCTATACTTCCAACAACAGTGCAAAAGCTTCCCTTTTCTCTCAATCCTTGCCAGCACTTGTTTGTTGATTTATTGATGATAGCCATGCTGACAGGTGTGAGGTGGTATCTCTTTGTGGTTTAATTTGCATTTCTCTGATGATTCGTGACCTAGAGCGTTTTTCATGTCTCTTGGCCATGTGTATGTCCTCCTTGGAGAAGTGTCTATTCAGGCAAGTCCTTTGCCCATTTTTTAATTGGGTTTGTTTTTTTGGTGTTGAGTTTTGTAAGTATTTTATACATTTTAGATATTAATGCTTTATCTGATGTATCAGTGAATATTGTCTCTCATTCTATGGGTTCTCTTTTTATTTTGTTGATGATTTCCTTTGCTGTGCAAAAATTTTTTAGTTTGATGTAGTCCCCTTTCATTATCTTTTCTTTCCCTTGCCTAGGGAGATACATCCAATATACACATAATTTTAACAAGAATAATCTAACTGGTTATTTTGGCTCTACTTGCAAAATGTTCCATCACCAGGTCTTAATCTGTTACTTAATTGAGAAGCACCTCATCTTATAAATTCAGCAGCTTTTTATTAAATCATTCATTGCAGTAAAATGAATTGAGTAAACATGATTATTATATAAATTACAAAATACCACACTAAGCTCTGACTCATAATATCTGAATATACACCCAAGATATTTATTTTTATAGCTCTTTAACACGTCAATTTATCATTCACTGCTCAAAATTACTTATTTTATGCTATGCTTGTGAATCTTGTGTAGTTCCAGTACTATATTTAATATTTTTTAAAAGATGTTATGTATTGATTTTTAGAGAGAGAGTAAGGAAGAGAGAAAGAGGGAGAGAGAAACATCAATGTGAGAAACATTGACTGGTTGTCTCTCATATGGCTCCCACCCCCATCCCACATGGGGGGTTGAACCTGCAACCCAGGCCTGTGCCCTGTCCAGGAATCAACCTTGACCCTTCTCTTTGCAGAACAACACCCAACCAACTGAACCACACATATCCAAGTATATTCCTAAAATTACTATTAAATTTTACAGACGTTGGTTTTTAATTTTGACAATAGTTGGTTTGATAGATAATATTTAACTAAGAAAGAAATATGTCAATATTAAAAACTATATCTAAATATTTTTAATTTTTAAAGTAATTTTTAAATTTTCTAATTATAGTTGTCATACAGCATATTAGTTTTAGTTGTACACCCAGTGGTTAGACATTTATATAATATATTTTATTTTATTTCTAGAGAGAGGGGAAAGGAAGGTGAAAGAGAGGAGGAGAAACATTGATGTCAGAGAGAAATATTGATTGGTTGCCTCTCATATACCCGCAACTGAAAACCTGGCCCACAATTTAGGCATGTGCCCTGACTGGTAATCGAACCAGCAACTTTTCCATCTGCAGATTAGCACTCAGTCTACTGAACCACACCAGCCAGTGCAGCCATTTATAATTTATGAATAATCTAGTATCCATCTCATACCATACATAGTTGTTACAATGTTGTCAATGATACTTTCTTTACTTTACTTTACACCCCATGACTACCAATGTAACTACTAATTGGTACTTAATCCCTTCGCCTTTTCACCCATCTCCCACTTTACCCCCAATCTGGCAACTGTCAAAATGTTCTCTGTATCTGAGTCTGTTTCTGTTCCGCTTGTTTATTTATTGTTTACATTCCACATGTAAGTGAAATCATATGGCATTTGTCTTTCTCTGACTGGCATATTCCATTCAGCACAGAAGTTTTAAACCTGTGTGCTGTGGCACACCTGTGTGCTTCAAGAATTTTTAAAACATGCAGTACCTGACTGTTTACTCAGGGGCACTGACCTCGTTTCCCTTAGATTGTCAAATAAAAAAAAAATGACAACAGCCACATAACAATAGCTGTCCATTGTGCATGCCCTGTATTGAACCATAAATATATAGGTCATATAATAGAGTTGCATCTTGTTGGTAATGTGGCATAACCAGGTTGCATCTGTTTGGTTAATTCTTGGTACCAGAAATCTTTATATACAAGTATAGACACCTGATTTTTTTTTAAACTCACTTTGGAGCAAAAAGGGTAGGTAATTACTATTTTCTTTTGTAAAACAGTCAGAATTATACTTATTTTTATCAGATTGGCAAAAAAACTAATATCTTTTTGGTGTTCCATAGAATTTTAATAATTAGTTTACGTGTGCCATGAGATGAAAAAGGTTGAAAATTGTTGCTCAAGGTCCATCCATGTTGTTGCACATGGCAAGAATTTGCTCTTTTTTATGGCTGAGTCATGTTCTATTGTGTTTATATGAGACAGGTCGAGCCTTTTCTAGATAAGATTAGATTTTCATCTGTTGACCCTCAAACCCTAGACCCAAGTAGTGGGCAGACAGAAAAGCCCCAGTAATTGCAATGTGCCACTTTATTAGGCAAAGAGACTTCCAGGATGCTAATGAATGCTCAGTTTAGCCCTAGAATGACTGTTTCATAAACTTACCCCCATTATAATAGTAAAAACACACCCCAGGATGGAGAGCTAACATGCTAATGAGACATGTGATGCATAAAGAAGTATGTAGTTCCACTGTGCAAGCCTCAAAGAGTTCCTGCCTCTACATACTTAGACATCACACTCGGACATCATCTTTCCTGCCTCTACTTCTGTTATTTTTTCAATTTTTATTTATTGATTTTAGAGAGAGAGAAGAAAGGAGAGAGAGAAACATCAACTTGTTGTTCCACTTCTTTATGCCCTCATTGGTTGATTCTTGTATATTTCCTGACTGGGCCTTGAACCTGCAACCTTGGCATATTGGGACAACACTTTAACCAACTGAACTACCCGGCCAAGGCTACCTTTAAAACTGTTCCCCTGCCTTTGTTC